AGTTAACAACTGATGTTTCTGTGTTCCGGGAGTAAGGTTTACTCTATTATTAAATCTACAACAGTGCCGGAAGTTAACAACTGATGTTTCTGTGTTCCGGGAGTAAGGTTTACTCTATTATTAAATCTACAACAGTACCGGAAGTTAACAACTGATGTTTCTGTGTTCCGGAAGTAAGGTTTACTCTATTATTAAATCTACAACAGTACCGGAAGTTAACAACTGATGTTTCTGTGTTCCGGAAGTAAGGTTTACTCTATTATTTAACATTAACATTATATTATTAACATTATTAATTAAAATGATTATTATATCTAGTTTTATTTATTTCTTTTCATTTTACTTTTTTGATAGAGATTATATTGCCCACTTAGCTTAGTATATGGATTGAGGACTACTATAAATCTCCTAAGCTGATCAAATGTCGAGAAATGATGTTGGATTTATGGCCGAAAATATTTTTTAACAGCGAACTGCTGAAACAATACATTCTAATCCTTATAAGTAAAAACATTATATTTAATTAGCTATACTTATTACCGAGTGGATTTTTGTTGTTTTTTTTATCTAAGTAAGTAAATTCCTCTAATCGGAAGATAATATTGTTAACAGCGAACTGCTGAAACAATACATTCTAATCCTTATAAGTAAAAACATTATATTTAAGTAGCTATACTTATTACCGAGTGGATTTTTGTTTTTATCTTAGTAAGTAAATTTCTCTAATCGGAAGATAATATTGTTAACAGCGAACTGCTGAAACAATAAATTCTAATCCTTATAAGTAAAAACATTATATATAAGTAGCTATACTTATTACCGAGTGGATTTTTGTTGTTTTTTATCTAAGTAAGTAAATTCCTCTAATCGGAAGATAATAGTATCGCTATATGTACTCTTTCATGTTTTTTGGTCTTTAATTCTTATTAATTTGTCATCTTACGTTTCATACAATATAAATAATTATTAATCAACTAGCGTATAGCCCGTCAAAAATGACGGAGCAAGTACAACCCCCCCCCCCACCCCCACCCCGTAGTATATCCTAACCTCACATTTCATAGCTAACTCAGATAAATAAATTTTGCGAAATCAAGCTTCACCAACAAAGAGGCAGAAAAGTACAGTCGAGTAAATTCCTTTGTGAGCCAATTTAAATTAATATAATTCATGAAATGAATTAGTGGCGTATTCGTAAAATTATTATTGGTAAAAATCAGGAGTAACTTACAAGACTATTTTATACTTTTATAATTTAAAAAAGGTTAGATAGAATTAATGTTTCGTAGTATTTTACAGTAAAATTGTATTTCGTTGTTGTTAAGCACAAATTTACACAATGAGCTATCTGTACTCTGTCCACCCACGGGTATCGAAACCCCGATTTTGTTTTTTAATTGACAGACAACAAACAGTCTCACCTATGCCGGCACTTACCTTCTGTTTTACCATTTATACTCCAAAGTTAAGCCAAATTCTCTGAGAACCCATCTGGGATGTTTTATTAATTATTTAATAAGTTCCTGAGAAATACTCGGCATAGCATGTTTATTAAAAATTAGCCACAAACGAAGGCGTTGTGAATTTGTCCATGAATAAATAGATCTTCCAATAATCTACATTAGCCACAAACTCTACAAACGAAGGCGTTGTGAATTTGTCCATGAATAAATAGATCTTCCAGTAATCTACATTAGCCATACTAGCCGTATTAGGTGATATACTTTACAATAACTGTTGACTGAAACATATATATATATAGTAATAAAACTCGTTAATGTGAAAGTGCATGTTCAAAAAAAGCATATCATTAGATAAAGGGAAATTTTTTTTTAAATACCACTAAATTTTACCTCTTCAGTGTAATAAATAAATTTAATAAAACATCCATTTTTTTTCATCAGTTTTATTGGAACCTCATAAAACGTGGATACATCAATAACACTGAGAATGGAGAAGAATAAAAACTAAGTAGGATTCAAATCCAAAGCTTGTACTTGAACCTCACTGTACTACAAAAAAATATAATATTACAATACTAAAATACAATATTACAATTCTAATGTACAATATTACTATACTAAAATATAATATTATAATACTAAAATACAATATTATAATACTAAAATATAATATTTAATAAGAACAAAGTCAATTCTTAAATTAATTCATAAAAACAAATCAATTTGATAATAAGAAATAGCGCTTTGGTTACTCGTATTGCCACAGGTGAAAACTGTGTCGATTAACGTTTAATTGACGTATCTTCTAGTAATAAAATAACCTTTTACGGATTTAAAACACACGAATCCTTGCAAGGTTAATATTTCTCTTTCTCCTTATCCGTTATTAGTGGGTTAGTTTCTTCTACCAGCCACGCCTTCTTCCTTTCCCTTCTACGGTCGCACAGTATGTAGATCAGCAAGACACACACCTGCATAACGTGGAAAATTAATTTTACTTATTATATCCAATTAATTAAATGTATATGTAACATATATATGTTCATTACTCGAGACCTGTTTTATTCTTATTTTGTTTATAAAAAGGTTTGTGAGGAAAGATACGTAATGATTGAAACCTATATATATATATATATATATATAC